GGCATGCTCCTGGCCATGTCTGTTGAGGAAAGCTCTTTCACAGGCGGGCCTTCAGGGCCTTCACTTATCTTCAGTTTCAGGCGAAGTCAAGGCCTGAGCTTCGAGTGTCAACGGCACCCGTGTCCTGGCCTCAATTCTGGACCTGCCAACAAACGCAGATGCCAACGCAGCGTGATCACCCAGTGCGACCTCCGTTCTCCAAATAAGAACGTTTGGGGTGGTCTCTTCATAGGGAAACTCCCACACTAAATTAGGCTTCCTTGCAGATTCTTCCGCACTCCCTAAAACTTTTCTTGTCGGACCGCGTTTGTCAAAAGAATGTTGCAAAACTCGTCCCTGAACATCCCCAACACCTAGCGATAACATTACAGTTAACCGGCCCAAAACCAAAAAAACAGGATGCCCCGAAGTGCGATGATCGCCTCGATGATTGTCGCAACAATGTTGGAGTGCAGGCTGGGTAAGCTCACAAAAAAAGGTTTAAGGCGATTGCGCCGATGCGCCGTTGTGTCGACCCTAAAGCATATACTCAAACACGAAACTTCAACCCCTACCTAAACCGAACCCCTAGTAAGCCCCCAAACCCCTAAGCCCCCAAGGACTAAAACCCCAAGCCCTAAGCGCAGAGCAGCGAAGCAGCGCAGCAGCGCAGCAACAGAGATTCGCAGCGGAGCATAGCCAGCGGAGCTGCAGAGCAGTAAACAGCGGAGCAGCAGAGCGTGGTCGATTTGTAGCGTGCACAACGTCGTGCCCGTAGCCTCCACATCTTCGCTTTCCCCTCCCTGCCTCGAACTTGGCATCGGACAAAGGACCCTCAAGGCTGGTCTCAGCAAAGCCTAGCACGAGGTGTTACGGCGTCAAGTTGCACAAGTCAACCACATGATGTCACGTGACATACCCGCATGCATCAAACTGGACCTAAGTCCGAGAAGCTCCAAGCCACCGACCGCAGAATCAGAGTTCCATGTGGTACCAATGAAACATGCATAATGCTGCATAATGCAATAATGCATATATCATATCATATCATCATGTCATATCATATCTCTGCGTAGGTCTGCCAGGAAGCGATGGACGTGCGCCCGCAGGCATGGGTCGTCAAAAAGCACGCTGCCGAGGCTCGCCTTCGGGAGGACAAGAGCATACAGAAATGTGCCAAATATGCCAAATCAGGCGCAAGGCGAGTGGCGAGCGATTACTGTGTTCGCTACATGATTCAGGGGCCTTTTGGACCGGAAAGTTCTTGAGTCTTATTAACCAGCCCAGGTTCCCAGGACTTATTCATTCGACTCACGGCTTGTGGATTTTCGTAAGACCCACACATAAGAAAGACAAAGGGAGGAATGCAAGACAAGGGAACGAAGGTCAGGAAGCCAGCAGGACTGTCATTAATGCGTGATCTGGATACAAGACGCTTGGACTCGTTATGCTCAGGGGATGACCAAGACAGTGTGGCCAAAGTCGAAGCGGAACCGGCCGAGTCAGAAAATCGCAAAACCAGCCTTTGTTTTCTGACTCTGGTTTTTGTTTTCCGACTTTGGCTGCAGGCGCGGCAGCAGATTTCTGACCTGGTTTTCTGGCCCAGGTTTCTCACGCAAAGGCTTTTTCCCAAATCAGCAGAGCTGAAGCTGAACCCTGACAAAACCCTGACACAAGCACCTGAAAACTTCTGGCAATCCCGTCTGTTTTCAACAAACTTGGTATCCTTGCATGCCCTTTTGATGCCCTTGAGTTGCTTTGACTACCCGTGACTACCCCTGCGCACCGCATTATGGAAGCGCCGCTCACCGCAAAGTCGGCCAATGTCTCGTGCCTGGACAAAGGGGTAAAAGGTAAGGAGACGGTAAGGACGGTAAGGATCTGCATTTGTGCTGTGACCCAGTCGGAGAGACGATTTCGGCAGATTGAGGCAGGATGTTGTCCTGGTTGTTTGGGTCTCCCTGAGAACTCATCTCTAACCCGCCTTTCACTTCGGTCGTAGCACACTGATTCCTGAAATCAACCAGCCTCCTCGGGAGGCGGGCGGGCATCTCCAGGCACCTGTTTTTGCTGGGGAAGGCATGGGGAGGCGTCAGCTCATGAAGAAGCTCTTCAAGCCCACCCTAAACGCACTCCAAAGACCAGTCCCGGGGCACTCTGTGGCTCTGTGGGTTCACGAAATGCGAAACTGAAAACGTCCGTCCGACGGGAGCTCCCGTGGCTCCAAAGTCACTTTTGTAGTACAAACATAGTGCGCAGAGCACCTCCGGAACTCCAGTGGCTCCAAATTCGCCAAATTCTAGTACTCGTACAAGTACAACCGCAGAACAGCGCAGGACGTCCGGAGTTGTAGTACAAGCGCTTTCGCGGGGGACGTCCGGAGCTGGGAGGTCGACTTTGAATACTCTTGGGGTGCGCTTGGGTTCTCTTGGAAATGTTCTTGGACTGCATTTTTCTTGGAGCGGTCTTAGAGTTGCTTTTTGAGTCTCGGAAAAACAAAGGCGAGGACGGCATCGCATTTCGCGATCCCAGAAGTCCAAAAACCATGACCTCCGAATTGTGAGTGGTGAGTCCCCATTAGCCGACGACCTCAAAGGACCCCCGGGGGAAGCTCCGAACGATGAATCCCAAAAAGCTTGCCGCAACCAAGAACTCCGTGGCCAAAGCCGCGCATAGGCGACTCGAGAAAAAGTCACTGAAGGTGCGCTCCGATCTATCCCCTCACTCTGGACATTGGAGCCCCTTACTGTTGACACAGCGTTTGCGGAAACATCCACAACTACTACAAGGGCCTCTTCTTGAAACTGACCGCCTTGCAGCTGATGTTTTTTTTATCATGGATGTAAAGGCCACTAATTACAGTGTCACTGCCTTACGTGTGCCCAATGAAAGAAGCGAAGGCCACCAAAGCCCAAGAGCGAAACATTGCGAAATGCTTTGCACAGGCGCGACTCTGAGCTCTACCCCGCAGATGTCGCCAGTGTCCTGCATGATTTTGCTCTTTGCTGGGAAGAGAAGGGGGAAATTTGCTGCCTGAATGATTCCGCGGACGCTTTGAAGTCCTTCTGGCCCTTTGGCAGACAAGACTCCAGCTCGCGGATCACCGTATCCTTGTTTGCGGAATGACATGAATGAGACAAGGTTCGGCAAAGCTAAGTTGCAACAGCCGCTCATCATGTTCTTCGTCGAGCCACGCTGTCACACCATGTCATTCTATCGATGCAGGAAATCCTGAATAGTTTTCACCATGTAGACACTTCCCTTCCAGATGCAGGTATTCAACATCGAGGTTACCATGCCTCAAGGTCCACATGCAAATCCTGCATCATATTAGTCGTACGGTCACCATTGACATTGTAGGGCGAGGGAAAAGATCTCGGTCAGGCCTCACATCTCACAACTAAGAGGTCATGCTGGGATACCGAGATCCCATACTTTCCCTCCTTTAGGATTTCGGGGCCTGTCCCTTCCTGTCCTTGTTGGTTTAGTTCCCTTCTTTCTTGGATTCCTTGCAGTTCCCCCCCGTTGTCAGTCCTGGAGTCTTAATGGGTCTTGTGAACTGAGGAAGTGCTACGGGGGTGATGCTTTTCCATCAACTGCTTCACTTTTTGGCCAGATCGTGCATGCTGCGCCTTTCTCAAGAGCAAAACAACAACCCGGCGATCTGAACTGCGGCGCAGCCTCTGACCAAGGCCACACACTCGAGGCTCTCAAGGCCTCTAAGATCCCCGGACCAATCAACTTAACCCTCAGATGCCATGACAGGCAATTGAGGCAAAGTGTCTGGGTTCTGGCTGATGTACTCCGCAATCTCTCGCCAGTTGCGCACCTGGGTTTCCCATTCCCAAGCCCTTCGGACAAGCTGAGAGCACACAAACATGGTTCCGGAGCTCCATATAGTAGGGTTTCAAAACTTCGCTCTCCCACGATGCCGCACTTTGTCATGTCAACCTGCATCACTTAGAAGCTGTCAGAAGCTTTCTGGTTTTCCGAGCGGCATGGTATCTGAAGAATCCTGCAGATCTTTGGATTACCTGCTCCAGCTCACGGACTGTCAACTCTGTCTCCACCTGGGACCAATGCCGAATCTCAGCTAAATCCAGCGGCACCTAGCTGCACTTAGCACTGACCAGCAAACAACGATGTACTGAGCCCCTTTGAGCCCAGAAACCGCAAGGCTCCAAGACAGCTCTTCCTCTGGCCGGACATGCAAGCGAGTCGTGAGCATTGAGAAGGATTGTGGCTTCTAGGTTGGTGGAGAGGCTATGTGAGATAACAAGAGCACGTGCAAGGTGGTTTTCTTCTTTGGGAAAAGGAACATGAACATGATCAAGAGCCTGAGCTTTATTCGAATGGCTGCGAGAGAAGCTTCGAAGTTGTAAATGCCGGGGACCGTTGTACAATGTCTTAGGATGTCTTAGGCTTGCCAAGTTGCACAACTCAGAACGTCGAACATGCAAGCTTCCTGTCTTATCCTTCAGGCATTCTGTAAGCTGTAATCCACCATGCTCAGGAGAAGGATGCCACTGATAGCATCAGAAAGGAGAGCATAAGGAAAAATATACAAACTCGTTGCTAACCTGCGTATCACTATGTTGCCTTGTGATCTTCGTACGACACACTACTGTAAGGGATCCAGAGCTCCGCGAATGACCTGAGACGTGTGCCCCGACCCCGAAATCCTCGGCTCTTGAATCCGAAGGCCTGTTTGAAATTGGGAGCCCTCGTCAACCCACGCTGTCTACAACCTGGCGGGGTGGAGGCTGGAGGTTGATCCTTGCGAGCCCGACATCACTCACTAGCATGACTGGAGCCCACCCGATGCCGGCACTTTTCAGCACTTCGCTCCATAATTGAGACAAAAAAAACCAAGGAAGGATGCAGCGCACCGAAGCCCCTGCGCCTTTTCTGGGTTTGAGCAGTAGCAAGACAGGTGCGTGACAGCTGCATACTGAATACTGACGGTTCTGCAAGGGGCTGGCACATGCTTCGTTCTGTGGCCACAAGCCGCCACTGGTCATCTAACCCAACTTCACGGTGTTCTCGTCGAGGAAAGAATGCCTGGGCTCCAAATGCTTCCAAAAATAAAACCCACTCTCAAATTGTCTCGTAAAGCACCACACCTGGAACTCCAGCGTCCACAGACTAGTCAGACACACAGCCAAGGCCCGAACGGAGGAACCTCCAGGTTCTTCGGCGCGGGACCCTGCCGCAAAGACACAAGTTTATCGAGTGGCCAAAACATGACAAACCAAGGCTCATGTAAACTACAGCAACCCCGGTTGTTTGGCTCCAGGTTCCATGAGACTGCGAAGGCAGCCCCTCGGTTGCCATGTACCCTCCTGCATGTGGCAAAGCCCACAAAGGCCAAAGGCCACTGCAGTTTTCCCGAATGTTGACCCGGAGTCTAGGCCCAAGATTTGAGATTCAGGGTTCTCTTCGTGCTCGCCTGGCACATCTCGGTCCGTTTCCGAACTACGTTACAACACAGCACAACACAGTACAACTGAGTACCATTCAGTACAGCTAAAGGACATCTCAAGGTCTGGCCTGGCGAATGCGGCCAGCGTAGTCATAGTGCGAGCCATGGCATGGGCAAAAGTAGCCACCTGGGCCAGCAAAGCTCCAGCAAAGCGCCAGCACAGAGCCAGCACAGAGCCAGCACAGCGCCAGCAACAAGCGTCAGCACAACACGTCAGCAAAATGCGTCAGCAAAAAGCGTCAGCACAACGCGTCAGCATAACGCGTCAGCATAACGCGTCAGCAAAAAGCGTCAGCCCACTGTCAGCCCATCCGAGGATCACAATCAATCTTGGGGGGCCATTGAATGCGCTTCATGGATCTTCATGGTCAAGCAACGCCCCAGATCCGTCGAAGTCCTTGAAATTCATCCGTACCGTTTGGGTGAGGCGCCGTAATTGCCAGCATCCGGCTGGGGAATGCAGCCCAGGTGAGTGCAGACCTTCACGGAGGCATCGTTGGATATGACTCAATTCTGTTGATGCATACCGTGCATATTCGTGCATAACCTTCTCCAGCAATCGCTTACAACGAACTAGGCCCACTAAGCTCTAGGCGCCGATGCAGATGAGCCATTCGGGCCTGCCCAAAGTCTATCAGAGTCTATCAGTGCATTCGAGGAGCATCTGCCCCTCGCACCCAACGCCCAAGCAAGCTTCACTCGCAAAGCACTGTTACGAGCAGTTTCTCTGACAGTCGTGCGCTGAGGAGCAGCACAGGTCCACTGCAAAAACGAAGCAAGCTCTCAACACGAGCTCCCGGAAAACAGCCCAGGAAAATTTTCTTGCTTGCTTTACACCCCACAAGCTCCAAAAACAAGAAGTCGAAAACCACAAGCAGGTCCAAACGGTGCGAACTGTTTTGGAGCAGCGGCGGAGCTGCCAACACTGTCTCTCGCAAAGTGCTTTCTGGCGACACAGACTGCCAATGTGTCTTCGCAGTTTAACCAGGTCTGCTGACCGCAAGCAAGCACAAGGCATGAGGAAAACCGGCTGGTAACCAAAGCCAGTTCACTCTGTATGATGCCGTATGTGATTCGTGCATGACTCGCACAAGACTCCGCACAGTCTCTCGCCTCTTGCAGCGCTCCGCATCAGTGGCCGGCTCACGCATGGAAGGTGCAATGACATCATCCTGCGGGTAAAGCGGGTTCTATAGCTATAGGTGCACAATGACACTCTCTTGTGAATCTCTCTGCACTCTCTCATGCGTGCCTTCTTGGCCGAAGCGATTTGCTCTGGGGTGCGCTTACGAATGAAGACCGGCTTTTCGCGCCACTTGACCTGGGTAGTGCAAAACAGTTTAAGGCACATCTAGGGCTGAGATCTGAGGAAGTCGCAGTGAAATTCTGCCCCACTCGGACAGGTCTCAGATCCACCTGATCCGCATCCAAGTGGAATAACTTGAAAGTGCAGGTAAGAACTGAGGATACACTTCATCCGAACTTCATCCTTTCACGCATGTTTGCTCGTGATGGGATTCCGCAAGCGTACCCCGAGCATGCTCGAGTGACAGAGCTTTAGCAGAATGGCACTGGTTGCAACTTGATCTTGTACTCCTGCCTCCACAATGCCAGCTGCAAAAACGTCCTGCACCGGAGAGAATCAAAGTGGCCACTTGTGTGACATCAACTCAGAAAAGGCTGTGGGCCGGCCTGTGAATGTGTGCCTTTCTGAACGCACACACACACACACACATGAACTCACCCTGTGGATTGGGCTTTTGGGCTTTTGGGGCTTTTGGGCTTTTGGGGCTTTTGGGCTTTTGGGCTTAGGTCATCGGTCCTTGGCGGGCCACATCGTCAGGATCAGCTTTCCAGCCACGGAGCGGATGATAGAGGCGGCAACGACCGCACCACCCCTCAGACTTCGTGCTGAGCTGGTTCGGAACGTCGAAAACCGAATCGCTATAGAACCACTAGCGCGTCAGGCCCCTCCTGACCGGAACCTTTGCCTAAAACCCATTGGCCATATGAGGTTGGCACCTGCAAGGTCTGCAAAGAGTGGAGGTCAGAGCCGAGTGCCCGACGCTGTGCAGAAGTAGACCCAGGGCCGGCGGTCCGCATGGCCGATGGGGAGGCGGTTTGCCTCAAACAAGATCATGTGGCGGCACCAAGGCACCGAACATGCAAAGGCTTCTCGGCAGTCCGCGGATCAGATCTGGGAATGTTGACTCGTGCATTCTCTGTAAGATCTCCCCAAGGGTGCTGCCCGGAAGTCCAGGGCACCCTCCGGGACCGTGCTGGTGGGCATGGGCGCATTCTCCGCAAAGCCCACCTCGACTCAAGCTTCAACGCAGTGGCGCAGTACGCGCAGTGCATGTCGAGCGGCGCAAAGGGCAACATTCTAGCATCGTCGGGCTGCACTCAAAAGAGGCTACATGTGTCTCGTGCAGGCAGCTTCCCCGCCAAACAGAGGCTCCTTGCGCATGTTGCGTGACATGTTCACACTTCGCTTTCTAATCTCGGGGTCCGACAGGCCGATAATTCTCAGGTGAGAACTTGGCAACGGAAACGATGGCGGGCTCCTGTTATCATCGGCATTAGCACTCCCAGCACTCCCTGGCGAAGATTGGTCAAAGATTGCCGTCAAACGGCACATCTCAATGCACGAGCCTTCGGGTCATGCCACACATCCGTGCGTGTGACCTGGGCATAGTGGTGCTTCTCGATCCGTTCTGAGAATTGCCAGGCCGCTACCCTTGCAGACTGGCTTCTTGCCAGTCACCTGGTGTCTTTACAAAACTTATACTTAAAGCCTGGTTGAAACTACCGCGGAATCTGAGATCAAAAGGCTTGTTGTGGGTTCATGAGCTGCCTCGTGGCATCTCATTTCAGCTGGTGGGAGCTGAGACGCACACAGTGGCGCCAGCCGCGAGCTCGCCCTTGGAAACGTCAGGCCTGGACTTGAAAGCGCGTCTCCGTTGAGGTGCAGTGGACATGACATGCGCCACTGGAAAACGTGCTTGCGCATAAACTTGACGACGACAGGCAAGCGTCTTCCGAGGGAAAGTTGGCTCGCGGATTGTGTCATAGTGGTGGTACCTGCAGCTCAATACAGGAATTATGCCAAGCGTGAGTGTGACAAACTACTGTTGCCTGTACTCTCCCATGCCGTAGAACTGGTGGGGGTCGCCTCCAGAACACGGTTCTGCTTAGGCAGGCACAACTTTGATCATGCACACACTTGCTCAGAAAGCCTTCAGCCAAGAACATGTGCCCGACGTCTCAAAGCCATAGACACACTCAACGTGTGGAATGGAATTTCGGTTCGACGCCTGACGTAGGGACCAGATCTGCAGTGTCGTGGACAACCGGTGGCTTCACAGCTTTTGCCATGTCCTCGTCTGTTGCTTGGGCGGGCTCTTGCGTTCAGCGATGAGACTGCCGTCACATGACTGTCACATGTAAACACGCAGTTTGTGGCGCTGCTACCATGGGTTCGGAATGCACGCTTGGGAACCTCGCAATGGAAGCCCGGAGTGGAGGGACATGGAGGGAACACAGTGCGGCGCTTCATTGCATGATATACGAACAAACTTGGACTTTTGCGTTCATTTCCTTTGTGCTCCATCTCTATCAGGGTTAGGCTCGGCTCGACGAACGAAACTGTAAACATCTTTGGCCCTTTTGCATCTCAGTGCTACTTCGACGTCTCCGTATCGGGAGGCTCGTTTGGCGGAACTGGTCGTGAAACCATCCGAGCAAAACATCGGGATGAACGGCATGGCCATGATCCAGCAGCCAATCGCAATGAGCATCGGAAGTCTCCAGCCCCACAGCGACATGCCATCTTCATCATCATATATCGTCATGTGATGGTACATGTTTCTGGCTTGGGTTGAAACCGGAGTCAACGCATCAAGCTCATTCAAGCTCCTTGAGATGGTGCCTTGGTTGGCGCACCTGGCACTACACTGTCCTGGATGGCGAAGACCCCCCACAGCAACGTACCCTCTGCTGCGCTTGATCTATGTAACATCAGTAACCTTGAGGTCCTTGCTTCCGGATCACTGGTCGACTGTGCTGGGGTTCGACAGGATCGAACTTCAAAGCCGTATGGGGCTTGGGCCTGCAGGTTCGATGCACGTGCTGTGCATGGTGCTGCCCTGCGACCGACAGCTCTTTGCGGCAACCAAACTGACCACTGTAGCGTTTTCTTGTTTGGTGGGTCTGAATGTGAACAAACCCCCAAATCGTTGACGTCAACTAAAGTCAAGTTGCGACCGAAAGTCCGCTGAGGCTGGACACTGACTACCCGGACCCAACGCATCTTTGACCAGAAAGAGCATCAGCCCTCCTAGCTGCATGTGATTGCCACCCTTTACTCTGTAACTCAACAAGCACATTGCAAACAAAAAAAGACGCCACTGCTAAATGACAACATCTACCACACTTGCTTTGGGTCCCCAAAACCAATTCTCGCGAACAAAATCTAGCCATCCAGCAGGTCTTGAAACCATCGCAAAATGTTCCTGGCTTCACTGCAAACTCTGTCCTCTGCATGCTCTTTAGGAGTCTTCAGGAGGAACTCATTCTTGTACCTGTCCAGCACGTGGTGTGCGCTTTTCTCTTGATGCCCTCTCTCTCGGACTCCTGGCACGTGAATTTTGCATCCTGGCTTGATGTGGTTTTTCAGGAGTAGAGTAGAGAAGGCATGTGCAGAGTTGTGCAGGTGTCGACCTACATGTGTCGCTGCCACCCGTACAGTCCGGAAGGGGAGGGATCAACACCAAACCAACACATACTGATAGGGATTGCAAAGAAGACACCAGTAGTAGAGTCTCGAGTGTAGTGCGACAAGGGGAAGAGAGGAATGACCAAGGATGGTGCCCTGGCCAACACCCCAAAGGCCGAGGGTGAGGCGAAGCTGGGTCTACGGAGCCCTAGCTGCAGCTGGCAATGTACGGAATATGTGTCAAGGGTGTTAAACCGTTTGGGACGGAAACTATCCGGATAGCGAGTCGACAAAAGGTTTCCCAAACAAAGAAGCGCACATCGGCATCTCGGATGATGGAGCCATGCGCTCGTTGTCTCGCATCAGGTGGAAGTTGACCGGATGGGCAAAGCCTGAGGATGTGCAGAACACTAGGCTGCAACAGAAACCGAATTCGCATCCCAACCGCTGGCAAAAATCATGTTTTTTCAATACCCCGATGCTACGAAGCGCTTTTGGAGAGTAAGCGCTTTGGAGCCCTTTACCACCCTTCACCTCTCCGCACTCCGAAGCTTTGGAAGCTTTGCGGACACGTTTCTCGTCACATGCTCATAACTCTCATATAGCCATATAGCCATATAGACGTACAGCATCGTACAGCCCACACCCACCCCTTTGGACCATTAGGCCGTCTCCAAAGACACTTCTCATCCTCGGACGGCCCAAGACTGGAAGTGCGGGAACTTCTTGCTCATGGTGCTGCAGCGCTTCTTTAGCATCTGTGATGCGAACACATTTAATGCGTGTCCGTCGTGCTTCAAAAACGACAGTTTTGTCAAGAGACTCGGTACTTCATGGTCGCCGTCCCCGGGCCCCAACTGACAACACTGCCATTCAACCTGAAGGTGATCCGAGGAGGAGCAAAAATCCCTGATTTATCGCACCTTGTCCCCCCCTGGTGACAAAACTTTGACGTGGATTGGCAAAACCTGGATGCCTTTTAGCATACTACTTTTCGAGCGGCGCATGCTGTACCAGCACGTCACATGAGCACGCCATATCATTCTGACATGCCTGCATGCCTGTATTTCCGTTGGAGAGATTTCAGAACACAAGCCTTCTTCGTCCCGAATGGAACCTTGGCTCAAGCTGAAAGTTCCTGTCACCATTGCGCTATACTGCGCTTCTCATACCAGACTTGCACATGGAGTTACACCTCATTGAACCGGCAAAGCGTTCCCTGAAAGTTTCAAGGTTGAGAAAGCAAAAGGCAAAAGGGGAAACCACCTGTTTTTATGGAGAGAGCTGTGTTACAGCGCCACACTTCTTGCAAAACTCGCTGAGTTACAAGAATGGTAATGCTGCGGATGTGGCCATACAGAGCCTGACATCCTAAACTTCTAATCTCTGAAAACACTAAAGATTTAAAGATACCAAACCCTTTTGAAAAGCAGAAGACTACAAACCCCAAGCGCAAAAAGAACAAATGAATTTGAACAAATTAAATCAGAACCCCAAACCATGAGATGCCAAACCTGAAAAGTCTTGAGCCAGTATTGAAGGCCTGCAAAGCCTGAACCGTAAAAGAAAGTCTGAAAACATTCACAACCCTAAACACTAAATTAAACCCTACACCCTAAACCAGATCCTAAACCCAAAAATCTTACAAACTCCGAAACCGCCTTGCTGCATATACATGTCCTTTCCCACTCTCAGTGTCGGTTTGCTGGATGCCAAGTCAACCATTCTCCTCGCCTTCCTCGCCCGCCCGGTGTCCTACCCTGGAGCGCCCAGGACCCAGAGAACTCCACAGAACTTCGGGAGTACCCACGCCCAGAGAATTCCGTGGAGAGTCCCACGACAAAAGCTTGCAGCATCCCTGTCCGAAAACGGCAGGGTGGCTTCCACATCGGTAAGCTGCAAGCGGTGGATGTTCGAAGTAACTAATGTGGTGCTCCGTTCGGTGTTTTTGGCGCTGCCACTACGGTTTGTGCTGTTGCTGTGATTGCTGTGTCGGGAAAGGCCCCGTCGCATCTTGCCCTCTGGGTCTCGGGAGTCCCTGTCACTGACCAGCATCCTTGCAGCTACCCCCATTGTCGCTCCCGCATCATCATTGATGATGGTGCCCTCATGCATCTTTCATCTGGGTTGTTGGGGATGCATGGTGCTGCGAGCTGGCTAAGGCGGACGCAGTGTCATCGCTGTCTGAGGCCGCTGCTGCGTGCCTGCAAGCGGCTGGCCATGGCCTCTGGCAGCATCGGACAGTTACACGTCACATGCAGCTGGTGCACAAGTCCTAGGTCAGTCAGAACGGACCAAATGGCAAGACTGAAGAGGGACGACAGAGCAGACAGGCTATCCACACGAAACACAGGCAACAAGCTGGATACGGTGGATCGGCTCACATCGGTTCACACTCAGCACAGCCCTGACGCCCGCACCGCTGGGCGCAACAGCACACGTGCCATCCTTGGCGCACAGATTTGACCATTTATACTCTGGCTGCTCCAGCTGCTGCCGGAACCACGCTGAAGCTCACTGATTTGGCATGCGCGGGATGCCAAGGAAGCAAAGGCCTCGTATCTCACTGTTGGCCCGTGTCATATTCAGCGCGTTAAACAGTCGGTCATCCTCACTTACATCATACAGAACAAATCTAAGGCCAAAATCACAGATCTCTTCTGGCACATGCCTCTACGCTGTCTCTGCGCCTGGGCCTAGACCCTTAACTCAGCTGGAGGCATGTTTGTAGCGCTCGCCACTGAGACCTGCTGCACCAGTGATTGCAACTGACAAGGCCCATCCCCACTTCCGGTACGCACATGGAAACACATGGGAAACACATGAAACAAAACACATGGAAAACACATGGAAAACACATGGGAAACGCTTGGGAGGACAAGGATGCATCCTGAGTGTCCGACCGAGGTCTCGATGGCAAAGCGGCTGACAAGGCACAGCAGGGGCAGAGCCCTCTCGAGCCACGGACACGTCGCCGTGTGATCCGCATGAAAAGTGATGTCGGAAGCAGGAAGTGCTTCGCAAGAAACAGTCAGCTCTTCTCACAGAACTGTGATTTCCTTCGACCATTGCGTGCGGTCGGGCAAGCATACAACTTTTTTTTACATAGGCGGCTAACTTTTGCTCGAGAACTGCCCCTCCATTGAGAATACACAAACTGACAGACTGCAATCAATGTGTGTTGTGTTGAGCAAAGTGAACAACTCAGGCTCAGAAGTCAATTCAAAACGATTGCAGGGTACACCTGGCATATGATGAAGCTTCTGGTCACCAATCATGGTTGCTTCTTATGGCTTCGGTGAAACGACCTCTCATCCACGAAGCCACGCTTTGTCCAGAACTTTGAGCAGCAGCCTGTCAGCGCAAAAGTGTTCTCGATATCGTTGATATAACTTCTGCGCTGAGTGAAGCAGAACACGCGACAAGAGAGAAGGGTGCCACGATGTGCCACGTCTACTGCACTTGCCATCGGCTTTGTACTGAGTGTAGCATCAGCTCGGAAGACAAACGGGCAACGTCATCGATTGCGGTGCCGTGTCTCGCATGGATATTTGTGGCGTGATGGGCGAAAACATGAAAAGCTCGAGGTTGTGCCTGCGCGCATCCGTCGCACGCTTTTTTCGTATCCACTGCCGCCAAGCTTTCGTGCTCGCGCGCGCGCGCGGGCGCGCAGCGGTTTTTTTTCCACACGTGCGAAGTACAATTTCTACGTGCTTGCTTTAGACAACAATGTCCTACACAACACGGTGCACAGCGACATTTTCGACACGCGCCACGTGCGCTTTTCAGAGTCGCCTCTTTGACGTGATTAACCCTCCCCTCCCCCCGCTCCCCTCAACAGTCCTGAATAATGCCCGGAACAAGCAAAACCCATGGGGGTCGTAATCGATGAAGTTAGCAAAAACTGCCCAGCTTCTCGCCTATCTAGCTGGACGGGCACAAAAGCAGAAAATGCAGTCCGTGCAGGGTTCGAAGCTTCACACTTCAGGGTTCATGTCCAAATATGTCCAAATCAACTATACTACAGTCTCCAGTCCATCAGTGTCTACATTTACATTGCAGCAGCCCCTAAGTTCTGAAAGTGGATCAATTCCCTGCACGACAGCCTGCTCAAAGTCGCGGCTGATGATGGTTTAGCCCAGCTTGACGGTGTTCTCATCCAAAAATGAATGCCTGTGGACTGCAAAGGCTTGGACACGGACCTACAAAGCGAAGCTGGAATTCCAACTCAGAATGTGCGGACATGCCATGCTCCTGCCATGCTCCTGTGCAAATCATGAGACTACCACCTGGCCCTGATTGTCCTTGGACAGCACCCCCAACCCATCAACATCCGCTTCTCAAACGTTACAAAGTGCCCAGCTCAAAGCGATCGCTTGCCCAATATCTCACAGACCCTTCTCAGCCAGAGATAAGTAACCGGGGTTTCATCAGGAAGACACAACAGCGCATGGAGGAATTCAACAGACCCATCAAGTCATCAAGCACCAGATCTGCTGCCAAACAGAGGCAAATGCGGGTCGATTGCTGTATAGGTGTTCTGGTCCTTAAAGAGAAACAAAAGAGAAGAAATAAGAACACTTCTCACTTCCCCGTTTTCGGTTTTGTCCTCGCGGAGGGCGGACCGAAGAATGAACCGTAGGATGCCCTGAAGGCTGGGGTTCACCGGCTTGCCCCCAAATCCCCCAAGGCCATAAGGCAGCCTAAGGCAGCCTAAGGCACGTTTCAGCACAAAACTCATTTAAGAGACACGTAGAGACACGTAGAGACACGTAGAGACACGTAGAGACACTGAATGCAGTGGATTTTGACCTGACACCACAGCTTGCCAAGTGCTCGGGCCGGAAGCTCTACGCTTTGAACTCCGTGCCTGCTGCAGAGTAAGGCAGAGTGAGGGAGAGGCAGAAGCTTTTTGCGGCTTGAGATCGTGCGATTTCTGCTCTTCATTCGAACCCTTGTGTTTTGGAAACAATGCTTTTCGCCCGGAGTTGAGTTGTTGCCGCTGGATGCCGTTTCACCCATGAGATCTGCACAGGTTCCCACAAGCACACAACAGCGCGCACACTTCTCCAAGCACATAAAGGGACGGAGACATGGAGAGAAGCCAGGAGCAAACAGAATTCCAGCAGACACAGCAACGACACGCCTGGAGACACGTGATCAGTCGAGACCTACTGCACAATGGAACCTATTGCCTATTGCTCTCCAAGTGCGCGCACAGCTTCTTGACCCCGTTGGATATGTCAGAAGCGCGACGAAATGAGTCCGAGCTCTGCACGGTGGCACTTCCAGATTCTTTGGCGCAGGGCCCTGCGCTGGGGATCTTTCACCAAGAGTCTTGGGGGGCTCAACGTGGTTCACCCTGGTTCACGTTGCATGGTCAGGCCTCTTCTGACAAAGGTGCTTGAGACAAATACGTACCCGTCCGAACCCTGTGGCTGCACGTTCCAACATGCCTGGCGAATACGACCGGCATAGTCGTAGTGAGAGCCATGGCAGGGACAGAAGTAGCCGCCTGCGCGTCAGCTCGCAGTCTCGCTGCTGGCTGGGTCTTTTCTTGAGCATCAAGAACCAACTGTAACACTCTAACACTCTTCAATTCCTGCCTGAACCTGGAACACCATTTCGAGGTGACTCTGACCAACCACAACATATGACCCGAGGTCAAATCACACACAAGTCTGTGCATATATAAATATATAAACCACATGATGATGTTTGCAACTAGTCAAAACCCCATAATGTGACCCGAGTTCCCTGCCATAGTTGCCGGCATCGGGCTGCGGGATGCAACCCAGGTGTGTGCACACCTCGCAAGCTGTGCTTGCGTAGGGTCTAACTCCAAACATGCGATTTGATTGAGTCTACTGGCTTGACACAATCGAAAATCCTTGCTGGGGCCACGGCCCCAATGCAAATCAACCACTCCGGCCTCCATCCGGAGAAAAAACAAGACACGCGACGGTGCTCAGGCAGCCAAACTAAGGTCTGCAAGCAAGGAAAGCATTGGGTATCTTACAACACGTTTCTTCATATGCTCATGCCTTTCGGCCAAGAGACGCCCCGAATATGATCTTCATAAGAAGCAGAAGCAGCAGCGGCAGCAGCAGCGCCAGCAGCAGCAGCAGGAGGAGTCGACATCAGCAAAAGAAACAGGCAGTGTCCGGATCTGACCTCTTGCAGCGCTCTGCATCTGTGGCGGGCTCGCGCATCGAAGGTGCAATGACATCGTCCTATAGAGGAGCTGTGCAACTCCTTCTGTGCAGAGAGTCGCCGAAGCTGATCTACAATCTCGTGCACGTGTCCTTCTTTGCAGAGGCAATCTGCTCTGGGGTGCGCTTGCGGATGAACACCGGCTTCTCACGCCACTTGACCTCAAGAAGACATTGCTGGGACATGCTGGGACACCGCTGGGCCTACCTGCAGCAGAGGTGACCCAGGGCGACCGTTTCCCCTAGCCAGATCACACTTTCAAGCAAGCTGTTGTCTCGAAAGCCTATACTATACATCACACAACACAGTCCAGCAACCTGAGGCTATGCATCGACCCATGCCCCAAAAGCCTCCAAAGAATCACTTTTGAGGCTTCGAGGTCGAAGCCGTGAAATTCTGGCCAACCCGGACTGGTCGCAGATCGACCTGGCATCGGCCGAGACTTGAAGGAGAGCAAACAAATCACAGTACCTGTCGCCACCGAGGCGGCCACGCGGCCACGCACGGCCACGCACAGCCACGCACAGCCACGCACAGCCACGCACAGCCACGCACAGCCACGCACCCACACACACACACACACACACACACACACACACACACACACACACACACACACACACACGCACACGCACACGCACACCCACACACGGAGAGAGGGAGGTCAGCCAGAGATTGTTGTACAATGGTACACTGACTGGAGATGACTGGAGAGACCTCAGTACAGGAGAGACCTCAGTAAAGGGGAATCCCATCGGGACTCCTGGAAAACATTGCAGGTACATGGAGCTGGCCAAACTCCACATCCCCTGATGCTTCATAGCTTCGTTGGATTGGGTAGAAGCATCAGGCCCAATCCCCCTGCCGGAAAATTCGACTCATGCATAAGCTCTCAGCTCCAAGCCCCTTAGCTTAGAATCAGGGTTTACACACACACACCCCTCCTACGAGGGGAGACACAGTGCATTCCAAGGCCACAAGAGATATGCTGCACGCACACCCTCCGAAG